ATAAGAGGTGCATATAGTTTTTTTTTTTTTTTGGTGTTTTAAAGGAAGTTAGGCTGTTGAAGTTGGAAAATATTGAAACATTGAAGAAAACTGAAGACAGAAAGGTCTGTAATTTTATTTTTCTCATAACTTTAATACCGTAGTCTTATAGCAGAGTATTTCTAATATGTTCAAAGATATTTTTAGTCTTTCGGAATAAAAAAAGCTTGTCTGCTGGAGAATATGTGAGGACTTTGTATACATGCAGTGTCAATTTAATTTTTTTCTTTCTAAGTGTCACCGTTTCACTGACATGAAAAATATTAGGAGAAGGCTTAGAAAAAAGACAGTAATTGTGGTAAGTGTTACATGAAAAACGGACGGGAAATGTTCTGGTGTGCACTTACGCCTATGACAAGGGATGCACACCGGAGTGCTATACATGCTGTTTGATGTAAATTGCTTTGAAAGTGGTTTTGATAGTGATTTATTTATTAAGTGACCCAAAAGCTAAACTAATAGATACAGAGAAGGCCTGAGTTCTCATCTGGAGAGAATATTAAAATGTATATTAAATATTTTATTTTTATTTTATCCTTCATTTAAAAAAAAAAAAAAATATTGAAACTGCAAAAATGGACAATATTTCTTACCATTACTGTGAAAAATACAAAACAAAGAAAATATTAATGCACATGTACATAAGCATACATATGCACACATGCAACATGCTTGTGCATCATACACTCTTGTACGCACACACACTCGCACCCACACCCACACGCACACATCCACACCCACATGCACACACACACATATCCACACACCCACACGCACACACACATCCACACCCACACGCACACACATATCCACACCTACACGCAACACACATCCATACCTACACGCACACACATCCACACCCACACGCACACACATCCGCACCCACACGCACACATCCACAACCACACGCACACACATCCACACCCACACGCACACACATCCACACCCACACGCACACACATCCACACCCACACGCACACACATCCACACCACACACCCACACGCACACATCCCACACACACACCCACACGCACACATCCACACCCACATGCACACACACATATCCACACACCACACGCACACACACATCCACACCCACACGCACACACATCCACACCACACGCACACACACATCCATACCTACATGCACACACATCCACACCCACACGCACACACATCCACACCCACACGCACACACATCCACACCCACACGCACACACATCCACACCCACACGCACACACATCCACACCCACACGCACACATCCACACCCACACGCACACACATCCACACCCACACGCACACACATCACACCCACACGCACACGCACACACATCACACCCACACGCACACACATCCACACCCACACGCACACACATCCACACCACACCACACACATATGTTTACACACACATACTCACACGCACACACACACGCACAACCACACACACACACACACACACACACACACACACACACACACACACTCTCAATACATACACACACACACACACACACACACACACACACACATACACACACACATGTATATATTTTTTACCAGTACTGTGAAAAATACAAAACAAAGAAAATGTAATTGCAAATGTACAAAACCATGCATATGCACATGTTCAACATGATAAGGGATCACGCACTCTTGCATATGGGTAAACACTTACACACACGAACATTCACGTACACACCCACATGCACCCACACACCACACACACCAACACACACACACACACACACACACACACACAACACACACACACACACACACACACACATACACACACACACACTCATATACACTCACTATATACACACACACACTCATATACACACACACTCATATACACACACACACACTCATTCACACATACACATGCACACACACACTTGCCATTACAGAATATGCTGGTGTGATTTTATTTTATGTAAGATCATTAAAATCAGGAGCATAAAGATATGAGCATATTGCTTGGGTATCTTACTAAAACGAAATTAGACTTGGTTGCTATACCTAGTCCCTTCTCTTGCGAGTGTGATTCAGAAGAAATATGACTGGCTGAAGGTAGGGTCTAAACTTGGAAGTCACAGTTGTAAAAATAAGGAAGCTAGGAACTCAAGAAACCTTTACACAAATAGGCTCATACATTTCCATACAGATTTTCAATGTTCATGATTTCCATCTTGTTTCTTATATGAATTTGAAATAACTACTGAGTCTGTTCGTAAAAATTTGTAAACAAAAGAAATGTGTATGTTAGTCATTTTGATTAATAATTGCAGTGTTCCCCCTCCTGCTTTCTAAGCTTATTTCCTTTTTTGGTATTTTTCAGCAGAATTTTCACCATAGATTATGTTTTTCTTTACAATTTTTATTTTGTTTATACTATGTTTGCAAAGGTTGATATAAAATCAGAATACCCACAAGTCCAAGGATGCTTATTATTGCAATTTTGCAAAAAATCATGGAAAAGGTGATCAAACATGGCAGATATTAATTTTCATGAATTAGTGTATCATATGAAAGATGTTGATTGCAAAGCAAATATCAAAGGATTTTATAAAGCAATATTTTGTTTAGAAAACAGTATCTATAAATGATTTTTTTACATTAGATATGAATCATGTGCATCCTGTTGATTATATTTTGTTCACGACCAGATTAGGGTGTGATGGTATGTACATACACACTCAAACTTGTATATATTTCTTAATATTTTCTGTATTGTAAGTGATGAATAATTATTTGACAGGAACCTATGATTGTTTTGGATTATTGTTAATATAGAAAATGTGGCATACTGGAATGCTATAGAGGTGAATGTTTTAACAAAAAAAATATATATATATTAAGGTGAATTGTGTTATTATATTGATTCACTACTTGAGAAGGTTGTGGCTATACCAAGTTTCTCTAACTTATTGATATGTTAATGGAATGAGTTATTTATTTATTTATTCATTTTTTGCTATGTAAAAGATGTTTGTGGTTTATTTTTACGTGTAGAAAAGAATGCCTTTTGAATATGATTTAGCATAAATCATAGATTTACTATTTGGATTAGGATATATGTATTGTTTTTGTGAAAATTATCTATTCTTAGGGTTTGTAATGTCATGTACTTTGTGTCTGTGCCAAACATAAAGCTGCTTATTGTCTCCTTGTTTATCTTTATATATTTCAAGTTATTTTGTTGTAGTTTTTGTATATTGCTTTATAAAAATACATTTACATGAAAGAACTTCATATTTGAACTGGATTAGCTGTCATTATCATCATTTAAAATGTATGTAAAATGCACTGTAATCTGGAATAAATATTTAAATCACAGCATGCTCTTCTAACCCTTTTTACTATAGTAGGTTAAGTGAACAAGATGTCTTTATTGACTAATCTGACAATAATGGATAAAGTAGCATGTATATTGCTGCAAAAGTAGACCAACACTTTAGTTACATTCTATATATTGTCATGATGAAAAAGTATCTTTTTTGTCATTGTTTTTAAAGCTATAAGTCCATTTTTGGGTCAAGAATGGATAGTTGCTCAGTGGATAGAAAATTTGTCAGTCACAAGCAGAAGAAATAAGTTAACTGAGATCAAATATTCTAGTAAAAAAATCATCTGTATGGAAAGATACTTGAAAGAATAAATGTAATAGTTTATACAGTCATTGATCTCTGAGCTATGAATTATTAATTTATCCCAGTTGACTTGTCTCTGTGTGCTCTGAAGTGTGTCCACAAGCAGGGAGAGGGTAACTTGCATGTTGTATATAGTAACTCAGCACTGCACCCAGGCCACCCACTGTCACCACTACCACTCTTGTAATAGGAAATGGTGTAGTGGTTGTTTGTGCATATCAACCCCATGTAGTACTCTCTTTGTCACTTCTGTAATTTTAGAAAAGTATTTTTTATAGTTTATACTTGATTGTGGATTTATCCTTTTCCTTCCCATGTATATACATGATGTATGTAGGGATTGTCATCTCACTGTGTAATTCATGTTAGCAATGTTATGAAGACCAGAGAGTATTTAAAATGATCTATGTTATGCTGTTTGGTTTTGGTGTGCAGTGATCATTACTAATTTTGATCAACCCACTACTTAGCCCTACCAGACACTCCTTTCTTTCATACATTTTAAATATGATATTATTTGAATAGTCATTAGATTATGTTCACTCAAACCAGCTTGAAATACAGAAGGTTGCAGATCAATATGTAGAATTATCAATAAGCTGCTATAAACAGTTTTATCAGTAATCCTTGCAAAGACCCAATCCTTGCTTAAATTGGCTGTGTTATCACTTAATTTCTTTGGTTTTGTATCCTGTGTTGTTAATTTTGGTTTCTTTCAGTTCATATAAAATCTACATTTTTATTTGGAACCAAATAAAGCTATGACAATACTTCCCCTGATTTTAGATATTGAGTAGTTCATGCAAGTCTCACTGCACTGTTACTAATTTATGGAGGCTCATCTTTGCCGTAATGTGATTTTGTGGTGTAGTATTTTGAGTGCTAAGTGAACATCCAATATAAACACAGTCTTTAACTATTTGTTTTGTTTTTATTAGTTACCTTCTTATAATTCTTATGACTATATTGTTTTGTTGTTTTCCTATCCCATGCTGTTAGATTTCAATAGCCAAGGATAGTGCCCAAAATCATTTTATGGGTTACAGAATACATTGAAATACTAGGCTATGGATTTTTTTCTGTAAAGTCTTTTTTATTATTAGTAGTATATAAAAATATATATATATTTTTTTTCAATCAGCTAGTTCTTCAGTACACATATGGTATTGGTGATGGTGGGGGATTAGTGGTGGTGATAATTACAGTATAATGGATTTGGTGATTGCGGTGGTGGCAATAGGGCAAGATTGTGACTCACTGCCAGTACTGCTGGGTTGTGACTGACAAGTTTCTCTCTCCACACAGAGTGCCAACGTACAACGAGTGTGAATATGATCAATTCCTGGAGAACCTGTCTGAAGCTGATTTCCCTGATATGAACTTCGACTTTCTTCAGACCAACTTCATGAAGCCTCAGTGAAGTTTGGAAAAATGTTCACCTGCATTTGTAATAGAAAATGTTTGTTAAGATATATACATATATATTTTTAACAGAAAGGATTGAATTTTGAGGAAATATAAATCAAAAGAAAGGAATTTTTGTGGGGCAGGGGGGTCTAGTGATTTATTGAAATCATTGTGAAATTTTTACTCTTGAAAGTTTTTCAATTTATCTCCAGAAGAGAAAGCTGATGAAAATAAAAATAGATACATAGAGAAAATATGGGAAAAAAAGGAAAAGAAAAAAGTATGGACAAGGTGTATCTTGATAGTAAGGTTTCTTATATTATAATGATTTTATTAAGCATAAAGATTACTTGTGGTATTACATATTAGAATCATACTGCATATATCTTCCCTTTAAGATTATTGTATTTATGTCATATATGAAGACCCTGCCCAGTGTTTGGAAGATGAACAATTATCTGAATGATTTTGCCTCTAATTGTATGGAGTAGATGGAGTATCAAGTTAATGCTTAAGAGATTATGATTATTGTCATTATTTAGATATTTACTTTGTTTTAGTTTTTGTGTTTTTTGTTTCTTTCTTTTCTTTTCTTTTCTTTTGGCATAATGAACATTATGAAATTGAAGTCACTCTGATGCAGTGACTTCAATATATATAAGAATGATTATTGTAATTTTGTTATTGATTTCTTTTTCTTTTTTATAGAAAAATATTATTAATCTCTTTTTTTCTTTCTTTCTTTTCTTTCTTCCTGCTTTTGATGTCACACCACATTTTTGCTTTTATTGTTATTATATGGTTGGTGTATATGTGTGACCCTAAACCATACCAAAAAAAACTTTGGGTCTCTTTGTTTTTGCAATTGTAAAGTATACATACTTACATGTAGCACTGTATATACTGTAATGCTGATTGTTTACCCTCTATGCTAGGGCCATTTTGAACTTTTACTTAAAAAGGTATCCTGTGTGCATTAACTTGCATCTTTTCATTGATTTCATCCTCATGAAGAATGTAATGGCTGGGTAGAAAGCAGATATATTGACTGTTGTTTGGATTCTTCTTTTTTTTCTTCTTTTTGCTATTTATTATTATTTTTCTTCTTTTTTTATTTATTTATTTTTTGTTTGTTTAGGAGGGTCATTCTTTTATGCTCGTCTCATTCAGGGGTATTCAAAGGGAATTTCTTCTGAATGATGTTAGGGATTTAGAGCATGTGATAAGAGAGAAGTATGCTACACACAACCGGATAGCTGTCCATGGGTTTTCTGACAAACCCTCCCATGCATGAGTCAATGGGGGGGGAGGGGGAGGTGTGATCATGCTAGCCCTACTGCATGGGACAGTAAGTTTCTCCCATAACCACTTTGTTTTGATTTTTCCATACTTCGTCTATCAATATTGCTGCTTGAACGATCCACTTTTGACTTCCGTTGTGTAAGGGAGCTCTTTGGTCATATGGTGTATTTCGCAGCTACTTGCTCTCAGTTACGTGATGTTTGTTACAGTTATTGTGTTAATGACTATATGTCATCAACATGAGAAAGGTGGTTCTACAAAAACTGGAATAAATGAATGAAAAAAGGTTTACTTGACAAAAAGTTACTCTGTTCCAAGATGCTATTAGAAATGGTAGATATAGATAAATGTATTTCTCTGCCTCTCTTTGTAATTCTCTCTCTCTCTCTCTCTCTCTCTCTCTCTCTCTCTCCATCTCTCTCTCTCTCTCTCTCTCTCTCTCTCTCTCTCTCTCTCTCTCTTCTCTCACACACACACACACAACACACACACACACACACACACACACACACACACACCACACACACACACACACACACACACACACACCACACACACAACATATACCCACATCCACACACACACATCCACACACACATCCACACACGCACACATCCACACACCACACATCACACACACACATCCACACACCACATCCACAAGACACATAGAAACACACACACTCACTCACACATATCACATATTTTCCTGGAATTATAATGTGGCCCATATGCTGTACAACATCAGTATTGATTTCTTGAAAAGAGCGTACATCTTTGTACAACAAGCTTAGACACGTGCATGTATGCCAACATATTTACAAACAGTGATAATCCTTTCAATAAAGAAGTAGGTAGTCTTGCCTAATGCTAAGTAACTTCCTCAGTAATATAATTGAAATATATTACAATAAGGAAAATAATATCAGTAGGGACCCTCAAAAAAGAAGAAAAAGGAGAGAGAGAAAAAAAATATGTATAATATTTAGATACACACACACACACACACACACACACACAACACACACACACACACACCACACACACACACACCACACACACACACACACAACACACACAACACACACACACAAAAT